GGGGGAGGGAGGGGGAGGGAGGGAGAGGGAGGGAGGGAGAGACGCGCGCTTTTCGTACCAAATGGTACTAGCTATATATCTCTCATTTCACAGAGTCGTGTGGGCGCGCACCCCACCACCTCCATTCTGATAGCACGTGTGAAGCAGGGTTCGTAGTGAGGTTTTGATGAGTGTGTGTGTGTATATATATGGGGCTTAGGGACATGAATGTATCTACGGCGCATGGTGCCCACTTGGGGACAAAGTAATCAATGAACAAGCGAATATGCACATGCACAGTTTTAGTCGTGTGCACCTCATTACCTTGTGGAATCAATTCTTCTGCACAAACATTAGGACTCACCCCTGCTAGCTCTAGAGCTTTTTCCTCTTGATAGAGATGGGGAGTCCTGAGATGCTTGACCAAAAAGCCCTGCTCAGGCAGCATTCCGTATTCCAGCCTGATCAATTATAGAAACTGAGCAAAGTGAACCCGACCCCCTCCCCCCCCCCCCCCCCCCCCCCCGCTTGCCCCCTAACCCTGCACCGGGTAGCTGCAACCTCACTGTGCGGAATGAGGAACGCAAGCTTTGAAAAACCCAGCAAGTCCCGGCAAATCCCAGCAATCTGCATTGCTTGCAACATGGTGTGTTGATGTGGTGCTACTAGTATGTGAGGTTCAGCCTTCTTGGGACAAAACCTCGAACAAAGATTGGCGGGGTGGGCGTTGCTTGAGCTCCTTAAAAAAAACGAACCCAAAGTGAAGTTAGGCCCCCGCCATGGGCCACTGCAACGAGCCAAGGCCGTGCGACTGGAGTTTTAAGTTGGTGTTTATGGCCGGGAGTGTCAGAGCGAAGTTGGTGCTCTGTGCAAAGCCATTTACAGGTGACGTCTGTTGTCAACATCTTTATTCGGCCCGGAGGCACACAACAAGTTTAGAAGCACTCGTTATGCATCGTCGCAATGGAACCTCACAAGAGACGTGATCCGTGGATATCCGTGGAGAAGAGTGGAAATCCCCCATGTTCGTAACATTTTCCTGCCGCCTTCCCTTGTCGGACGTCTTGCCGTTAGGGTCTGCGGTTTGCATACGGGCACAGGGCCTCCTCGAGATCTGGCAAGCTGAGTGGTCTCACAGGAACCTCAATACAACATACTAGTACCAACAAAACGGACCAAGCGCTTCGACGGCACCATGCATCCTGAATGGGCCGGAATCTCCAAGAGTCTCATGTGTCTCAGCTGACCTCAGGAATGGGCCGGAATCTCCAAGAGTCTCATGTGTCTCAGCTGACCTCAGGGTCGACTCCACCCAATAAGGGCCCGCACGTGGCTGTTTAATGCTGAATAATTGTTTGATTGCACGCCTATGACATTGCAGGTGGCTGAGAGAGAAAAGAGGTTAACATGTGCGTTTGTGTGTACAGCTGCACGGCTCGCGTAGTTCCAGTTTCGCTGTCCGCAGCACTGCGCTCAGGCCATGTAGAGGCTCATGCAGCCGGATTTGCTTTTTGGGTGGTTTAGGGTGATCGTCGCTGCCGTACTCTTCTAGGGTAATGGGACTATAATCTTTCGTCAGCGCGCCGCCTCGGCAGCCGGGCTGGCCCACGGACAGGAAAGGAGGAAAGAGGGTTTCTGGAAAGGTCCTAGGGGGGTTTCAGGAGGGGGGTCCGAGGAGGGTCAGCCAAATTGGTGGCTTCTGGAACGCCCCCTCTGGGAAAAGCCGACCCGCCATGACATCGGTTTGCGATGGCGGGGGGGCGGGGGGCCCACAGGTGGGGGGGGGGGGGGCGTCACAAAATTGGTTAATTAGGGGGCTGAAGCTTCGCAAGCCTGCAGAGTTTTGGCTTCCTGCTTTATAAGCTGTCACATCTTTACCACTCCGGCGATGGGGCTGCACTGGCGCCTGGGCGTGCATCGCAGAAGATGGGGCTCCGGCATTTCGTCAAGGGTTTGAGGATGCTTTCCTTTCATTGGGCCTTAGCCTTGTGGCGTACTCACAGGGCTTTATGAGTTTCATGTCGTTCGGCTCGGGCATGGCGACCGTGAGGGCTGCAGCGTAAACTCACAGTCTAAATTCGATTGCGCACAGGCAGCCCCAAAGCAAGCACCAACGAGTTTCTTTGATGATGTTGAATATCTGAAGGCTGTGCGCATACCAGATGTTTGTGGTGGGCACGCTCGTTCATCTCATTCCCAGACCCCGGTTGTAATGCAAAAAGCCCATGTCCAACTCCTATGCTTCTCCTGGAAAAGATGCTTAAAGCCGGCATGTCGCCTAGAATCCAGGCAAGCTGTCGTTGACCTCGGCTTTTGCCCCTCAAGTATCCAACTCCTAAACTCGAACTCGTAAACTCCCCGCGCCCTTTTGCAAGGCGACTCTTCCTTGTTGGCTGGGCTTTCTACGTGGCCCAGGCGCCGTGGCTTACGGCCACAGCGTTTGCACAAGAGACAGCAAGAAGGGAAAGAGCAACACGGAACAACATTCAAAGCTGGGGCGCGGGGCAGCAACGACGACGACGTTGACGACGACGTTGACGACGACGTTGACGACGACGTTGACCACCATCACGACCAGGATCACCACGACAACGCCAGCGCCAGCGCCAGCGCCAGCGACGACGACAAGGACAAACATCAACCACAGCAACGAACAAACACGGCCACAGCCACGAGCAACAGCGCAACAGAAACCCGTTGCAAGCTCGCGTGCAAAGCCCTTCCATACCGACCTATCCTCAATATGAAGGATACAATATGGGGCCCTCTAGTTACAGAGCAAGTTATATCTTGTGCAACATAACTTATAACATAACTTATAAGTGATGTCGTCAGAGTTATAAATCGAGCAACTTGGATAACTGGACGGGATCAGTTATAACTGAGTAAAAATGCTGTATAAGGTTTCCGTCACACGGAGGTCGAGGGCGATGTTTCATATACTTTTTAAGAAAGGGCTGGAGTAGCGTGGAAACTACAGGATTTCACATGTTTTTGCTAGAAACATGTCACGTGCAGAAATATGATGCGTGTCTTTTGGCCAGGTTTGTTTTAGTATACTTTTGAGGCTAACTTCCCTAACTAAGATATGACTTACATGTATCTGGGCTTACTAAGTTATAACTGAAGGGCCCCACATTGTATACATACGTTTATACATACTTACATATGTGCATACATACCGTTCTATCACTATCCAAGCCCCTTGAACCCGGCCAAACCCATGCTTGCATAGGCAAAGCTGGCCGTCGTCCGGGTGTTCTCGACAGCCGACGAAGTGAATGCCTTGCTGCTGTCCACCACGACCCCATGCTCTGATTCATCTTTTGCACCCTTTCATTGTCGTCTCTGGCCCAGTTGAAGCACGAACTGTTTCCCGAAGTCACTGGTAATGACACTCCAGAGACATGACAGGGCTTCTTTTTTGAAAGGAGACCGAACAGGGACGCCTTTCTCCGAACCTTCTAAACTTGAGAACTGTGCACCCGCCCGCAACCTGAAAGCCTGCATGCCAAGCCAAGACCCGCCAAAGAAGGACGTGGGAGAAGACCAGGCCGTGCGACCCTGCCAAGATCTCGCAGCCCATCGACTTGGTCCTCGTGTACAGCAAGGACTTTGCGTCAGCACGGGGGGAGGGATCACATGAGGCGCAGGGGTGCGCAGGATGCGATTTGGCGTTGGCGGAGCATGGTGCATTCTGCCAGAAGGAAGCGCAAGAGGTGCTGATTTTTTATCATAACCCGAGAGCTAACCGTGCTGCTCGACGCTTGAGCCGCTTGAGTTGGCACTGATCTGTTGTTATTGCAACAACGGCGTGCTGCAACTCCCCCTTTGTCGTGCTGGGGCAGAGTGGCAGGAATAGAACATAAAGCAACAAAGAAAAGCAGAAGGGGCCCGGGGGGCGGTGGGGGTGGGGTGGGCGGGATAAGCTACGTATACATAAGAAAAAGCGGGGCCGGCATGATGGAAAAAATCGCTGTCCCGGGTCCGTGCAGGACATCGAGTCCGAGAGGTACATGGATGAAACCCCCGACAATGCGCACACCGTCGTGGATGCTCTGCTTCATTCTTCCCCGCCGCAATCCTTTCTTCTCAAACATATACATACTGTGTCGGAAGGCTGTGGAAGTCTGGTGGCCGGTGAGCTTTTGGTTGCTTGAGGGTTCGGGTGAGAAAGGGCACGCAAGGGCGCGGAAGGATTTCGGAACCTGCTGGGCTGCCTGACTCGCCGGACCCGCCAGACCCGCCCATCCAGAGTTGCGGGTGCAAGTGCTCCCGCCCGGTGCAATAAGGCGCATGAAATATCTGAGGCAACTCTCTCGGAGTTGTTCGCCAACAAGAGCTTGGGCTGGATGTCATGCAGCTTGCTTGCAGCAGCACGGGCAAGGTAAAGGCATGGTGAATCATGCGGGCCAGGGCCGGGAAGGGGCGGGGGGGTGGGGTGACCTCTGAAAAGTCTCTGGAATCCCGCTTCGGGGGTTTAGATTGTGGCGACCGTTTATGGGAGGGTTCCGAGGGTTCGGTGCATACGGGGTGTTCGAAGAAGCGTAGGGTTTTCATTGGCTAGACATGCAGGTTTCGCGGAAATCAAGAACATGTCCGTGAAGCTCACGCCGGAGGAGGACCAGTACGATTTTCACGGTTACAGCATGAACAAGAAGCTTTGCTTGAAGGGAGTAGGAGCACACCCGTCTGGTAAACCACAGCAAAACGACGTGAAACACGACTTTTGAGAGTCCTGAACTTCTTCCTGCCCTCCTTTTGGGGCTTCAATACTTGAAGCTTCCATCGGCCATCCGCCACAGCAACCCCCCCAAACGAAGCAAGGCATTGGGTCCAGGGCCCAAACACCGTGTTCACGAGCATCATGTCGGCCATGCTCACGGGAGACCTCCGCGGGTATGATTCCTTCTTCCTCATGGAGATGGATGCGGTGCCCATCAAGGTGCGAAGCTTTCAACCGCAAGACAGAGCACGACCGGCACGAAAAGCCAGCATAAGCCTAACCCCTAACCCAGACCGACAGTCAGGTCTCTCTGTACATGGATGCAGTGCCAAGAGCATGAGTGGGGTGTGGGCACAGCTCTTGTCACTGCTCCAGCATAGCGGGTAGTGCTATGATCTGCGGTAATCGCAGACAGCTGCTGTGTAAGCGGCATGTGCGACGGCGTAGTTGGGAAAGCGCATTGCGCGACAACCTGAAGGCTTCCTTTGGTCCCCACTCCAAAAACCCTAAGCAAAAATCGGCGCAGTGCCGCGCAGCTTGCGTCAAGGCCGGATGGCTGGAGCAGTTCGAGAAAGAGGCTTTGGAGATGCCCACGCAGAACATGGCCATCCGTGGCAGCAAGTACTTGGGCCACAAGTGGGATGCTTTCAAGCACCTGATGCCGGCCCATGTGGTCGAGCACATCAACGGCAATGCCATTTACAACTTGAAGCCTTGCTATGCTCTTGCAGAATGTTGTCCTCTGTTGAAGGTTCAGGGAGGTATTGGGCAGAGTTGTTTATTGTCTTGATCTGTGCTGATAGGAGACGGATACTTGGCGGGTTCTGGGCGGGTGTCCTTGAAGGGCTGGTTGGATGCACAGGTGGATGCACGGGGTCCCTGACCCGAGCGGAGTTTGTTGAGTCTTGAGTCTTGACGGTTGTACTTCAATTTGGGTTCGTGGTCGCAAGTTGTGTGTCTTTGCTCCGCACAGCATGGCAGTGGAAGAGATGTTTAATGACGCGCTTTTGGAGGCAAACTCAACAGAAGGAAACATCCGTGGCTCAAGTTCTTGCACGACACCTTCACCGGGGAAGGCAACGTTCGCATGACGGAGGGCATGGCCTTCGATGTGGCGTTCGCCATGATCACTCAGGCCCAGCTTTCAGCACTGCCTACAGTGAGCGTTCCATTTTGTCAGCCGGCAATACGTCGCGAAAGAAGATGCGGACTGTACAGAGTAGGGGTGGGACTAGACATCTCTGCTCAGGCGGCCATGGACGGCACAGAGCAGGAGCTTGCTGCAGCTTTCTCCCAGAGCAAGGGCACCGACTCGACTTACTCCGGGGACTCGATGCTCATTGGCAACTATGCTGCTAGGTCAGCTACAGGTAGCTTTTGCCCTTGCGACAGTGGCCCGAAGTAGTTTAAACAGACGCGCTCCAAAGCCCTTTCGAAGATGATGCGTTGCCGTCGCAGGCCAACACGCTCTTGAATCACAGCTTCGATGTCCCGACCTACATTCGCCATGGCTCTGACAGAAATCTGTTCCACAGCCTCGCAGACGACCAGGTCACTTTGGGAGTGGCGGTCTACGACCAAAGCGCAGGTCACATCATGAACACCACTCGGAGCAACCACCCCTTCAAGAACATCCTGATGCTTCAGTACTTCCCCGGTAAGAAAGCCACGGAGAAGATTGCTTCCCCGAGCGGCGAGGTCATGGTGACCACGCAGCAGGCAACGCAGGAGCCCCACATGCATTTGTGTGAGGTCGCCCAGTTGGCGACGACGCCGTGGTTCGCTCTTACCGACAACTACCACGTCATCAATGCACCTGCGACTGGGTCTTACCAGTACCTGTCCTTTTTTTCAGGTTCATAGCTGCACAATGCTTGATACGGGTTCCCCTGTCGACCTGTAAGTAGTTGGAGGCGCATTAGTTGATACCAGTTGACCAGTGGCTGGAACAAGAGCCTCATGTGCGGTAGCCGAAGGTCAGCGTGCTCATGGACCACTCCGATCCGCAGATGCCTGTCCCCGTGATGCCATATGCACATGGCTGCGAGCGTGGCGATTGCCAGGCCTCTCTAGATCAGGCCTCGGACCTCTTTGGCGTTCACTTGGAGTACCACCATGATCCGTATGAGCTGCTCTTCAGCACCAGGGACGCTAGAGACTTCTGCTCCTCCTGGCAGCAAGCGGCAGGCAGCAAGAGCTGGAAGTCCTGCGAGCTCGCGTATGGCCCGACGGCCGATGACTACATCGCCTGGAAGATCAGCACGAACAAGACCAACCTGATTGCCACGCCCAAGAACAAGGCCCTGTATGGTTGGAGGGCATGGACGCAACGGAGGACGCCTGCTCCCATGGACATGCGACAGTGCCGGGTGCAAGTCTATGGGCTCGTCGAGTACCACCATGCCCTCGGGAACATCACATCGTGCGGCCAATATATCGAGAATAAGGTCGCGTGCATCGTCGATAGAGATTGCACCTTGGGTCTTGTTTGGCAAGTTTGGCGTAGCTAAGTGCAGCGTGGCAAGAGAGACACATGCAGAGAGACAACACACTCGACAGAGAGACCGCTCTGAAGGCATGTGGGTTCCGAAGTTCCAGTCGGGCGTGTGCACGAAGAAGCCTTGGAAGCCGTTCATTCGCAAACCGTGGCGCAAAGGGTACCGATCCAACAGCCTGGCGCAACAGCTCCAGCCCGACGCCGAGAATGTGCACGAAGACCCCGTTCACTTCATGCAGCTCTCCAACAGCAGCAAGCAGGAACTTTAGAGGACTGAGAGAATCCGACCAAGTCGGAGGTAGCCGGCTCTCAGTTCTGTGCGCCATTTCGCTCAAGCAGTGGGCCCCTATGATCGCAATCGATCCCCGTCCTGAATGCCTCAAAGCAGCAGCACAAAGCAGCTTGTGTCCACACTCCGCATATACACATAACGCCCCCCCCCCCCTCTTTTTCTCGCCCCGCGTGGGATCCACCGTTTCGTGACGTACAGTGTACCGAATCTCTTGTTAGCAAATCCCGCATCACCTCCTCAGATTATTTCTTTGAGCTCAAGGTGCTCTTGCTCACATGGGGCAGAGCACCCCCCTGTAAAACAAGAATGAAACTGCGATTCCCTTTTTGGTCTCTGGGTATAGTGGGTACACTCATAGAAATTAAAGCATAGAAAAACCTGTACAAAGAACCGAAGTATGACAGTAAAGTGCATACCACCCCCGTCCCGTCGTTTCGCTTACCAAGCAGCATCAAGAACCCCACCCTTGCCAGAAGTAAGCACCAAGGCATACGATTCGACGTAACCCACCCAAACAGCCAACATAATGAGAGAGCACCACCCTTGTTGTAAAAATGTAACAGCACAGTATCTACCACCCCTCCGTCCTGATTCCAAAGTATAACACCAATACCCAAAACCCACACCCTATCCAAGCCTGTATCCTGAAAATCTAACATGGAAACAGCAAAGTCCTTTCTAGATACTTGTCCTTCTCAAAATAAGTATCAATGTAATCTTTCCTCCTTCATGTTTCATAATATTTGTTTTTCAGAGAGAGAGAGAGAGAGAGAGAGAGAGAGACAGACTGTCTCTGGGGGGGGCTAAGCGTGTGGAGAGAGAGAGAGAGAGACAGAGAGACAGAGAGACAGAGAGACAGAGAGACAGAGAGACAGAGAGACAGAGAGACAGAGAGACAGAGAGACAGAGAGACCGAGAGACAGAGAGACAGAGAGACCGAGAGACAGAGAGACAGAGAGACAGAGAGACAGAGAGACAGAGAGACAGAGAGACAGAGAGACAGAGAGAGAGAGAGAGAGAGAGAGAGACGAGAGGAGAGAGAGGGAGAGAGGGAGAGAGGGAGAGAGAGAGAGAGAGGGAGAGAGGGAGAGAGGGA